GACCATTTTAAACATATTTATGAAGGCAGTACTGCTGAAGAACGAATTATTCAAGAACTTGAAAATAATTACAGAGACGAGGAAGCTATTCGATGGTACACACGACCAACATTTCTCTACAACACTCTCAACAAAGCTCTTCGGGATTTCGACTTTGAAGTTCTCTTTGCTCTACGCTTTCTCATCAACGACCTACAACGACAATTAGCCATCGCACACGAAACTTATCTAACTTCGTATGAATTAGAAAATCCTATAATTACCGTCTATCGTGGTCAGAATATTTCTGTTGCCGATCTCAATTATCTTCATGAAAATATTGGACAATTTGTTGCAATGCAAAGCTTCTTGAGTACAAGTTTCGATAGAGCAGTTGCCAGTTTTTTTGCCCAAGCTGCTGCTCCTACTACAGACGGAATAACATGTATTTTATTTGAGTTTCATCTTGACACACGTATCACGAATACGAAACCCTACGCAAATATAAAACATCTGTCTTACTTTCGTGATGAAGAAGAACTTCTTCTTATGCTAGGTACCATATTTCGAATTGAACAAGTGGAATATAATGAACTAGAAAAAACATGGATTGCAATTTTAAGTCTGTGTAGTGAGGACGATTATGAATTAAAAGAATTGGTGAAACATTTGAAAAATGAAACTGGCGAAGGAATTACATCACTAGGAAATTTATTACAACGACAAGGAGATTATGAAAAAGCAAGACTATATTTTCAACAGTTGTTGCTCGATTCATCTCTTGACGATCTTGATCGAGCTAGGTGTTATCGTGGTCTTGCTATGGTTGCACAGGCACTCCATACATATGATGAGGCTATAGAAAATTTTGAGAAACAATTGGAATTGTTGAATACATGTGACGACAGTCAGGAGGAGATTGGAACCGCATATACATTTCTTGGTGAAGTTTACTTATTCAAAAGCGATCTCGATCAAGCTCTCTCTTACGAACAAAAAGCGTTTGACATACTTGTTCCATTAAATGCTCCTCAATTGACAAATGTTTATGCTATTATGGCTAATATTTACATGCAAAAGAAAGACTTTCCACAAGCCATTGTATATCACGAGAAAGGACTTGAACTAGATTACGAACGTCTACCAGGAAATCACGAGAACTTTGGAATAACTTATGCAAATATAGGCGCAACATATCACTTAAGTGGAGATTATATAAAAGCTTTAGAATATTATAGTAAAGCTCGTGAAATCTACTCAAAAATATTGACACCCAAGCATCAGCATGTATTAACTGTAGAAGAAAA